CTGACGGTCTGGGATTCTGTGATTCTGTGCTGCCCAGGGCGAGGATTATGGACTCAAATACTTATTGCTTTGCAAGGTGATCCTCCTCCATCAGTGCCAGGAGCTGCTGCTACTTCATCAAACTACATTTGAGAGCCCCTAAACTCCTGCATCGACATCGATCCTGCTCCATCACTGCTCTTCCTTGCTTGTCAACAGCCCAAAGACTTTACAGCCCACACAGGCAGAGCCTTTTCAACAACGCAGAGCGCTGCTCATGCAACCATTACTGCCCTTTCCTGTTCTCCCATGCACTCTTTTAGCCTCTACTATAACCACTGCTTTGCCCACCCAGACAAGGAATCCCCTCCAGTCTCCCCCCAGCCTTTCTCTAAATAAAGTTCTGGTCAGCTGTGCCAGGCTCCACTCCAAAGCGCTGCTGGATCAGATCCTCACAAGTGCCAGGGCAGGCAAGCTTCTACGTGTGAAGCCCTAGGAACAGAGTCTGATCCAGGCCAGAATGACCCAAACCAGTGAATACAGCTGGGCTGGAGCAGTCTGCGGGTCTGTTTCACATCATGACGACCTCGGCTGAGTCGCAGCAGCCCCTGCCTTACCTGTGCTGTGATCTTGGCCGTGGCAGCGGCTGCGGCGACGGCTGCTGCAGGAGGCAGCCCTCCCGGCGTAGCGGGCGTCAGGAGAGGCATCGGAGGAGTCACGGCTTTCCCAACCCGGAGGTACTGACCCCCGAGGTCAAAGAGGTTCATGGAGGAAACAGCGTCTTGAGAAGACTGCGCTTTCTCGTATTCTGCAGTGAGAAAGGGGGTATTTACCAGTGAGCCTCCTAAACCCAGCCACTCTCTCATCACACAACCTTGATCTGTATCTGCAAAGGACTGCCCGGAGCTCCGGCGAGAAGACCCTCAGTGCTGGGCCCTGATCACACAAGCACTGCTGAGAACAGCAAGATCTCCCAACCTACGTAACAGCCAGTAAAAATATCTGGCTGTTAATTATATCTCCAAGTCCAGGCACAGATCCGCTCCACATTTATTTCTAATTGCTTCATTGCAATTCTTCCCCTAGAGCAAAAAAACCCCAACCGACCCAACGTGAGGATGCTCCCCACCGCTCTCCCCACCTCACCCCCAACACCAGACGGGCGTTTTACCGATGAAACCATAGCCTTTGTGTTTCCCCGTCGTGGGATCCCTGGCCAGCGTGCAGGATTTAATCTTCCCAAAGGCCTCAAACACGCTCTTGATGTCATCGTCGGACAGGTCCTGATGAACAGAGGCCACGTAGATGCGGTTGAAGGCCCGGGCCTCTTCTGCAAGCTGGTCGATAATTGGTTGTGCCTGCCCGATGTTACTGGGTCTCCCAACCTGCAGAGAGGACAGCACACAGATGTGTTCAGTGCTCTGAAGAGCAGAGCGTGACTCACAAGTTACAGCAGACGAGCACTCGGTACCTGCCAGCCTTTCCAAACCAAGCCACTCCTCGAAGGCCGTAAGCAGCAAAGGGCAGCAGTCGACTCGGCTCTGGGACACAACCTGCACTACAGGGGACTCCAAAAGTACCCAGTGACCAGACGCACTCTGCTCTCTCCTTCACTTCCCCCACCTACGCTCCCTGACTCCGCCAGAGACCAACTTCCAGGAGCTGAAAACAGTCCCGACAGCAAAACACAACGCTTCTGTCTTTCCAAGGCTCCTAAACCCCCTCAGAAGTCAGACACTGCAGACATGCAGAGTGCAGCAGAGACAGAAACGCAAGACAGAAAACACTTTGCAGAAAACGCCCCTTTCCCCCCCAGTTTCAACGCCCGAAATTTCACCGTTGCAAGGTCCCCTCTTACTGCTTGAAAAAGACCCCACAGCAACAACCGTTTGTGCTGAACACCTCCTTTTTGTAAGGCAAGGATGCACCTCTACCTTGAGGCCCCTCATGCTCTGATGCTACTTAACATCTGATGCTTACTGACCCTAACCCTAACCCTTATCTACCACCCACAGAGGTGCGACACAAGACATCAGCACATCAAGGATCACCCTTGTTTAGTCCTCGAGAGACTTTCATTCTGTGTAGGGGCAGAAAATCCCTGCTTGCCACAACAGGTTTTCAGGTTTTGTTTGCATGCAGGAGCCCAGAGCCGCCGTGTACTCAGCGGGCTGGATATCAAGGGGTTATCTCCCACAGGGCAGTGCTGTGGGAAGCATTGCTCGGCATAAAGCCACCAGTAAAGAGAACCATTTTTGGAGCGTGGCTGCCACTCACCTTTATGTTTCTTCCTCCCAGCATGACAGAATTCATCTGCTCCAAGGCCAGCTGAGCGGCTTCAGGTACCTCGTATTCCACAAAAGCAAAACCCTAGGGCAGAAGGACAGGCCCGGTGAGCGTCCTGTCTCGAATCCAGCGCCAAGCTAAGGCAGCCAAGGCTTCCCATGCACCAGCTTCCTGCTGCCGTGGCCTGACAAGACGTTTCCTCAAAGAAATGTTCATTAAAGCAGAAAGCTGTGCGCAGAAGCGACCGGCACAAGGCCACCTAGCAGCAAAAGGCCACGGCGTGCAGGACCAGGAGCTGCTTGGCCTCTTCCATGCACGCCACCCCCACGCACATCCGGTTCCCATTGGAGAACCCCACAAAGCGGTTGGATTTCACGACCTCACGGGTCTCTTCCAACCCTAATGATGCTGTGAAGGCAAAGCCGGACAGGCAGCTACGAACGCTGATGCCCAAGAGCTAAAGGCAACCTGCTTTGAGGATCAAGGCTCCTCCTCCTCCTGCAGACACATCTCATCGCTCGAGGTGCCGTTCACCAACCTTGTGTTTCATCGTAACAGAGTCCCAGGACATATCAATGCTTTTTATAGGTCCAAACGGGGCAAAGGCCTGGCGAATGGTGTCTTCTCCCAGCTCGTAGTATATGGAGCCCACATACACACGACACATGATGGCCAGGGCGCGCTGCCTCTGCGCTGCCATCTGTATTGGAAAGAAGAACTGGCTGGTTAGAGCAGGGGGGCGGCCGTGGACGTCAGGAGCTCTTCCCCTTCCTCCTTCCCTCCCGGGAGCTATGGCCCAACAACAGGCAGCTCCTCACCGGGCTGCAGCACAGCCTGGCACACCGAGTGACAAGGAGGTCTTTTCCTGCTCAATGCAGACTGCTGGAGCGGAGCAGCAGTACAGCTCACTCTCGGGGATGGGGGAAAAGGGGGTAAGGGGGGGCAGCCAAATCTTTGGTGGGGTCTGCCACCTCAGCAGCCTTAACCCCGACCCCCACCGATAAGGTCTAACCCTCCCCAGCCTGACGGCGTCTCCAGCAAACGCTTGCAGGAGGAGGAAATAACTCGGTTCTAGGACAGTTTCCCCCCTCCAGGCAGCAAAGGTCTCGATCCTAAACGCTACCACATCCCTCCCGCTCCCTCCCACGAGAAGATCCAATGCTGGACACTACTGGCTTACCCTCCCCGCACACCCCAGCACCGCACT